CATTTGTCAGTAAGAGACTGTGATCTTCTAAAGAGTCAAATTTGATACTTAGTCTCTGATAATGAGAGATTAATATGGGATTTCTCTAAAAAGGGCTTCCTCCTAGGAGGCATTTTCTTACTAGTGTAGTAACACAAAGAGGTTAACAGCTGAGAGAGATCTGTGTGCTGCCTTTGCCACACCACTTTCGAAGAGACAACCAACACTAGAAAATGCTCACAGCTGTGTTGCATTTCAGGTTGCTCCATGTTGTGAGGCACTAGGGTGTAAGCTTTCCTGGTGGCTTCAAAGGGTGCACTGGAAGGCTTCGTGACACCTGGGGCTTGTTAGGGTTTTCCTTCAGGCATTCCAGATGGAACACTTCAGTGATACTTCTGAGTGCACTCTGAGGCCAAGACTAGTATATCTACAACAGCAATTTACTTCAGGTCAGGAACATGCTTTTGAAGCTAATCAGCCAGTTAACCCCTCTAACCACTTTTTGGATTGCATCATGAAGTGTCCTTGTATCACAGGAAAAGAATATTTTGAGGGTCAAAATAAGCCAATGACTGTTCTTTGGCATTGTACCTAGCATGCTGGAAATGATAATGGTCTCAGGTTAACAGGACTAGCAGAGCTAGATCAAAAACAAGCTCCTGAAATGAATTTAATGTGGTTCATTCTCAGCCCTAACTGACTAACAGATATGCTCCTCTCACATCTCGCTAATATAAATATAGCTTGTGTGGATAGTTGGGAAATCAAATTTGAGTGTGATGCTGGAGGTATTTTAACAGCATTTTGTCATATCTGATACTTCAGAAGAGTGCAAGGAATTAACATGTGAACTTCCCAGTAAATAGAGAAAGGTTTCTTTATACATCTGCTAAGAATAACTGTTGTTGCAACTGTCACAGTTCTTTGTTTTTATGTTTTGGTTTGTTTGTTTGTTTGTTTGTTTGTTTGTTTGTTACCATGTCTAGGCTGGTACTTCTGTAGGAATCCAGTGAATCCATGGTGCTAGGCAGTGCAGATGCATGAAATAACAAATTTAATCCTTTCAACTTTTACAGTCTCAGTGTAAAGCCTTAGTTGATCTATGCCCCAAAGCATGAGAGTTTATTTTGTTTCCATACTTGATTTATAACAGGGATATTAATGCTGTTATTGCAGTATGGTGTTCAGAGATCTTTTAGAACATGTGCTTAATGTTATGGCTTATTCACAATGCTGCTGCTTGAGTGATAGCTTGTTCAAAGATGACAAGAATGCATTGTCAGTCTTGGGATTTTTACATTAGATTTTGATGACATGCTCAATTAATATATATATGTAAGTGAATGTGAATTGTGATGCATGAATTTACCCTCTGTATGTTGGTATAACAGGGGCTGAAGGCTAAAAACAATCAAATAGTTGTAAATTTATAAAACAGTCTTCACATTGCAGTGTCTTTTAGAGATGATAAGTTGCTGTGAAATGTTAGTTTAAACAAAGAAAGTATCTGCCACTCACAAGTTCCAAAACCAGTGAGTTTTGCATGATTACTATCACAGATCTTGGAATCCTTGCTTGCTTTCCCTATCTTTCAATTACATATAAGTGGGGAGTCTCATAAATTCAGAGACTTTCTGAAATCTTGCTATGCTCCAATGATTGCTATCCGAATCCCACCTACTAAGTGATGATAGAACCAGGCTTCATGTTCCTAGCAGCTACTTAGCTCTCTAGATTTCTATTACATACATACAAACTTGACTCTGCCTTTTTATTCATTAATCTGGTCATAACTTAGATGATCTCTCTGCATGGTAACATCTAAGAAATTTAGTGAAGGAGGAAGTCTTGAGAGTTGTTGAGGTCCTTTACATGGAACAAATGTGTGGGAACCAGGAGAAGGCTTGTAAAATATACTGATACTACTGACACTGTAGGAAAATCAATTTACCACATAACCTCCTTTACTTGTTCTACCTTTTTTCTCTCGTTCTATCCATTATCACTTCCTCCTTTGTCAGTACTGTCAGGTGTTTGGAATTTGCTCTTGCCTATAGCTTGCAGTGTCCCCCATGGACTGGTGCTGAGACTGGTCTGTTGAACATTTTCATCAATGACCTGAATGAAGTGATAGAGTCTACACTCAGCAAATTCACTGATGATACAAAGCTGGTGGGAGTGGCTGACACATCGGAAGGCTGTGCTACCATTCGGCAAGGCTTTTCTTGGTAGCGTATAGTGACAGGGCAAAGAGCAATGGCCTAAAACTTGAATGTAGGAAGTTCCATACAAACATGCAGAAGAACTTTTTATGGTAAGGGTGACAGAGCATTGGAACAGGTTGCCCAGAGAAGCTGCGGAGTCTCCTTTGGAGATATTCAAACCTGTTTGGATGCTCACCTGTGCTACCTACTATAGGGCATCTACTTTATCAAGGGGGTTGGACTTGATGATTGCTTGTGGTTCCTTCCAACCCCTGCAATTCTGCAATTCTGTGGAAATATTTCAGGGGAAAAAAAGCCAGCATGAACAAGATTATCTGTACTCTTAACTTATCAGGTAGCTATTACTTCTCCTATTAAGCTTTCTGGTAGATCTTGTCATAGAATCATAGAACCATTTGAGTTTTAAAGGACACTTAAAGGTCTTCTAGTCCAACCCCCTGCAATGAGCAGGGACACCTACAGCTCCGTCAGGTGCTCAGAGTTGACCTAAAGTGTGTCCAGGGATAGGGCATCCACCGTATCTCTGGACAACCTATGCCAGTGCCTCACCACCTTTGTTATAAAAATCTTCTTCCTTATATCCAATGTAAATCTCCCTTCTTTTAGTTTGAAATTTCTCTGACTTCTGTCATAAGTTAAGGCTGAGATCTCCTTACCATGGAATTTTATTCTCTAGTTATTACAATAAGAGAGGAAGCCAGCTGAAAACATTCATAACTGAAGTGGATGTTTCTAGTTCTCCTGGGTGGGAATACTGTTCAGGAATGCTGGCAACCTGGAAATTATTATTTTTCTGCTCATGTCATTACTATTGTAAAAAAACATATGTACTTTATCTTTTGTGAACTCAAATCCAATATTTGCTGCTATGTTGTAGCAGTGGACCCTTGGAGTTAAGGCACCTCTGTTTCTACATCACAAATGAAATCCTTCCCTTAAAGTTTGCGAATTAAAGTGAATATTGCAATAAACATTTTTACTTTTTAAAAGAAAGAAGACATGAAATACAAAGTATAGAAATTTTGTAGCTTAACAAGTATTTCTCATCTTAAATCTTGAAGAAAGTGGCACAAAAATGAACGAACCCTTATGAGTTGCATTTTAGTTAGTATGAGTGAAATGACTGGAACTGAGAACAGGTGAAGCAAGAGATTTTGGTACATGCCCCAGTCTACCTCATTTACTATTAAAAGTATAAAGAGGAGACAGGAGTGGCAACAGAAACACCTTTTATTATTGTTGTATTTGCTTACATTGTCCAGTTTTAAATATTTTTTCAGTTACATTGTTGCAGTTTGCTTTGGGAACTTTTAGACATGCTTGACCTATAATGTGCTTATTATAAAATTAATTTAATGTTTTACTACATTTGCCTTTGAACATGGGTCCTCTTCATTTTTTATGGTTAACTGAAATGTGGAATGTTGAATTCCACAGTTGGCAGCAATGTGCTCTAGTAGTTATTCATTTCCACACCACAGATTTGGTTTCAAAGGCATCATTCCTGAGCTGGATTCTGTCCATTTTTCTGGATGTTGTTCCACAAAATGCCCCCAAACATGAACAGTCTTATTCTTGCTGATTTCCTAACTGTACTAGAATTTGTAACGTAATACATGGAAAACTAATTCTGATATTTCTGTAAAGTAAACTATATATGTGTTTATAAACTTCCATTGCTTTTTTTTTTCCTGAATATATGGACTTCAGTATTTTTTCCACCAAAATAATAATAATAATTAATAATAATAATAATAATAATAATAAAATCAAAAACTTGCATTTAGGTTAATTCTGCAAAACTGTCCTGGAATTGTACTTAGTTTTGAAAATATAAAATATAAGGGTTAATAGACAATAGGAAATAAATCTAAAAGTTATTCTAAATGATAAGAATTTTCCAAATTTTACATAACAGGACACATTTTAGTAGAGAGAAAAGTTGGATTAATACAAATAAAGTCTTCTCTAAAAATCAAAAGCAACATTTTGTAAGAAGACTAGTCAGTAAGTATCACACTGACTCAGTTATTAGTAGAACGTTTAGTAGTTGAAGTATGGATTCTTTTTAAGCAGTTTTCACAGTGGAAATCCCAACCAATTCTTATGAGAGAAACAAAAACAGCCAAATAGCATCCAAAATCATAATTATTTTCTGCAGTACAATGGGGAGTCATGTGGGTTTTTAATTATTGTCTGTAGAGCCTTTATGAGTGCAGACTTTCACTCCAGTTGACTAATTCCCACCTTTTTTTCCTGGGGGGTTTTACCTGCCAGTAATTAACTATTTCACACACGTTGGAGAAACTGAATAAGCAGATAGAAGCCTTCAACAGGGTAAGGAATTAATGCTGATGTGAAAGATTACATCATTCAATTTTTATAATTATACAAATCATCTGACATAATGCAACTAAATCATAGTTGATCAGGTTAGATGCCAGACACGTTGACATTTGTTTTGAGTGAGCTTAGATGAAATCATCATACAAAACTTCAGTCATTCAGGTCTGAAAATCTCCCTAATGTCTTTTTGGAGACAACTAATTATGTCAACTGGTTAAGATAACAGATCATCTCAATTATCTCTAATTAATTGCAAATTGTGAGTAGTTCTGCTTCATTGAAGTTTGCTTGGCAAGGAAACCAGGATAAGGAAGGGCACAGGTGAGCATTTACATCTCTTTTACTATGGAGGCACGGTACAGCTGAAATGTGCACAGGATAACTTATTAAGGTAAGTCAGTTTGCGCAGAATATTCAAAGCCTATCAGAGGTTGTTCTCTTCAGAGAACTGTTTTGTCTCTGTTCCATTTCTGTCTTTGGGCTATGATGAGCAAAAGATGTCTAGCCTAGATTTAGAAGGCAAACTTGGAGATATGAAAGGTAAAACTAGATCATTCTTGTGGATATGTCCCTGGTATATAAAAAAAAGTCAAGATACAGCACAGCTATATTTCTTTCTCTAGGTGAGAAGAAAATTAAAGAAGAATGAAACGAGAAGGGCCCACTGGGTATTCTGACCTGCTTTGCAACACCTCAGAATGGAGTGCAGTTTCAGCTTTGAAACAGAAAAATGAGCTCATTTTAAGTTCTTTTACTCCCACCAGTTTTAAAGGAAGCCTATTAAGGAAGCATTTTACAGAGGGAAGTTAGTGTTGGTCTCACTGAAGAGGCAAAATGCTGTCTTGCAGTAAATATTTTGGTTTTTTAGAGGTGTTTATATGTTTCTGATGTTACTGTTGTTTTAGCTGATAAATATTTCATTTGCTGTTATCTTTCTCTTTGTTTCTTGTCTCTAATTTCTGGTGAAATAACTAATTTTTATTTATCCTTAACCCAGCAGCCCCCACTAAACGGACAACTCTTAAGATGAGGTCTATTTATTTAAGCAAAAAAACAATTTTAAAAAATAAATTTAGTGGAGTACTTCCTGGCATTCTGCACAGAGATTTTATAGATAATCTTACACTGAACTTTCGAAATAGCTAATCTTTTTCCTGTAGCAAATAAAATTGCAGTCCTCGATTGTTCCAAGACCAAGGAATGACATCTCCATTTCTTTCTCCAGTCAGTGAATTTCCATTTCTTGCAACAATTTTTTTTCAGAGTGGAAAAAAAAGTGGTTGCTGTTTTAGAACCTGTGTTTATCTTTCTGTCTTTTTGCTGTAAAGAAAAACTGTTTATCTTAGCTGTATTGTGTGTTCAGAGAATAACAACAGCTAGACATTTCAGAGATTGGTATCAGGCTGATGAATTGCTGGAGACAGAGGAAAAGCTGCACTGCTGCCTTCAAATCTCTTTCTTTTTTCTTTTCTCTTCTCTGCTAGAAGGCTGCAGAGAAACCCACTCTGGCACTTCAACGTAGTTCATGACAAATACTAAGAAAACCTTTCCACCTTGTTCAAGAGCATTCTTTTGGCCTCTGTCCTGCTGTCATTTGCTCTCAGCATAATACCAATTTTCATACACTTTAAATAAGAGCTGAGTGAAACAGCTGTCTGTTTCAGAAGTACCAAACATTGGTATCCTGCCATCGCACTACTTGTGTGCATGTCAGGTTATACCAGGTTGAACTAAGAAGTGGATGTCTAATATGAGTTGTGCTGATGGAACTTGAGTAGGAATGGTTACACTTTTGAAAAGGGCAAGTTTTGTTCCTAAGAGACAAGTCCTGTCACTATGAGTCCATTTATTTTTTTCCATTTACTTTATAGCATATATATTACTTTATAGCATATATACAATATAGCAGATTAGATTTTTATTTTTTTTTAAAGAATCAAAATGATCTCTATTTTTTAAGTGGATGGTGAGGTTTAAGCAAGGATCAAAACATAAAAATGGTCACTCTCTGCTGTCAACTTGATAGATTACTTGTAAAAATAACTTTTTCTGCAGTTCTCACCTTCCAACCTTTTGCCTTTCTTGCCTTTTTTTCTCCTCGCCTTTTGCCTTTCTTGCCTGTTTGATTTGTAATTGTCTCTGAGCAAAACTTCTCACAGTATATCCGTGCACAGAATTTAGGAAAGCAGGATCTATAAAACAGAAATAAAAAATATTGAAGTAACTCCACCAATTGGAAGATATGAAGACCAGCTCATTAAAACAGCCTTACTTACAAGGAGAGGCTTGTTGCCCATTGCAGGAGGCATCAATGAAGTTATAAGAATGATTGGAATATATTTTTTTTAAAGTTATCTATATGCTTAAAGTAATAAAGCATGTTCTTTGAGAGTTTTACTGATTAATTTTTGTGATGCTCAATCTCTCAGTGTAAATGTGTCAATTTTGATCTAGATTTAGATTAGCGCAACTCCCACAGTCCAGTAATGGCTGCAATGATTAAGTCAAAAACAAAGCAGTGCCCAATCCTTTGGTGACCTTGTAACACCTGTGCTTATGTAATGATTTTGGAATTATGGCTTTGACACAGCATGTTGAAGGTAGATATGTCCTTCTCCCAAAGGACATCAATAAAGATAGGAACCTACATGTGCTCATGCACATAAAAGCACTGAGTTTTTCAGTAATCGCACAGCACTATAAGCAGAACAGTCTGGATGAGAATGAGCTGAAAAGGAAGGGTTCAGTCTCTATAGGAGAGATCAGAAGTCCTGGGCTTCATTTCTGGAGCTGTCTTTCTCCAAGAGCAACACTTCATGTCATTTCTTCTGAATCCTTATTTTCCCATTAGTTGCTGCTTGCTTTGTCCTCTGTGGTGGCAAACTGTGTGATGGCATCCTCCCATTGCTCTAAAATAATTATAGGAGTTTAGGAATTTGATGTAAAATAGAGAAGTTAAAAAAAAAAAAAAAAAAAAGGACAGATATTCTCGGTGACACTTTAGGCAACAAAAATGCCTTTTCCATAATTGGTTTTCTTCTTACATTCACTGCAGTGAGAAGCCAAAGCTTCAGGGCACAAGTGTATAAATACAATGCAGGAAACTGTGTCATCATTCCCTTCTCCAAAATAACAATGTGCAAGTCTGGGTCCAGCTCTTAGCCAGGCATTTGTCTGGGGTTTTCCAGTAGCAACAGCTAGGACTAGGGCTTTTTTCTTGCCAGATTATTCTGATCATCTCTGGCACTGCCTTGTTGCTGGTTTGGGTGGCTTCTGTGTAATAGAAATAAGCCTGGAGTTAGGCAACTGCAGAGGATCTGGTTTGCCTTTCTTTCTTTCTGATGTTTTCTCTGGTTTGTACATAAAATGCAGCACAGAACTGAGGCTGGATTCATAATAATGGGCTTCCATTGTATGAAAAAAAATATACAGTAAAAAAAGACAGTCCTCAATAAAACTGTGTCTTTGATTAACAAAGTTGGTGTATTTACTGCAGTTAAGCACACAAACCCATGATTACAATGATTCAGTTTGCACTTGAGTTATTCTGCGATCCTATGATCATACAAGTTGGAAGGCATTTTGAGCAGCAAAGAAGATGTGCTATGAGGTGAGATGAAGTTGCTCATTGTTTTCTTCAGTTCAGTCTTGAAACCACACAAGGATGGAGACTGCTCTTCTCCTGGTATATCCTAATGGGTAAAAATTATCCAGGTAAATCCAGCTGAACCTGTTCTGTTTCAGCTGGGGTCTCTTGTCTCTCGTCTTCTTATTACATTAAGCAATTTATCTCCACCTTCTTACTGTCCTCCCCAGTGGCACATGCAGGCTGCTGTTGTGTCCCTGCAAACCAAGTACTGGCAAGTACTCCAGGGATGATGACTACCCCTGTTCATATGGTGCAGGATAATGGCAGTGGCCCTGGCTGATGCTGGCTCCTGTGACTTCCACCATCTGAAACCCCCAAAACGTTCTACAGAGCCGCTCCCCAGCCACAGCAGATCTGTTTTCTACTTGTACATATACCATCTATCCAAAACGTGAGAAACTCGGATGTGGAGCTTCAAACTTCAGATTAGGTCAGTAATACTACCCTCTTGGTTCAGTGCAGCATCAAGAACCTAAGATTTTCATATACTCGTATTTTCATGGCTTTCATAGTTTGTTTGTTTGTTTTTGTTTTTTTTTAAACTCCTACCTGCTTGCTGAGGAATAGCTTTTTGTACTGACTTATCCTTGTTCACAAAGGCACACAATCTTAAATTTCACATCTGATTTAGTCCATGTTTGTTGTTCCTCCTCTTTAACAACTTTCAAGCATTGTTATACAGTCCTGCAGTGATAATTATTGTTATCTTACCAAGGTAGACATGGAGATAGGCAACATCTTTAAGCACAATCAGCTTGCTCTGAATGAATGAAAAAGGAAATAATCCCAGCATGTGCGCAGCAAAATGAGGAAACTCAGCCACCTGTCCTATGATATCGTTGTTGTGGTCACTGGCACAAGGCTGTGCTTCAGGGCCACATCACTGCCTGGGAGCTGGCACAGGGCAAGAACCTTTGCTCAGGAGCAGCTTGAAGGCATGTGCTCTGCTCTGGAGGGTAGTAGGTTGCAGTAAAAGGGATGAGGTTAACCTGTGTTTTTTTCTCAGGACTAGAGAAAAGGACAGGAGTTTCTTTGCAAAAACAAATCTGACCTAAGCCCGTAGCCTAGCTAAGACTTTCATATCAGTTTTATTAAAAACACAAGTTACAAGTGGTTATGCTATCCTTTAGGTGCATGCAGCAGATGCAACCACCTAGTTCTGCTTACTGAGTCAGGGGTCCTGTAGTCCTCCTTCCTTTCCATATCCTTCCTGTATGCTATGAGAACTTCATAACACACTGAAAAACAAATCCAAGGCAGATTGTGTGTAGATGTGAGGGCTAAAAAGATTCTGGAGGGGCATTTGGAATTCCTGCTCCTACTTAGTCTGCAGCTTGGGGCCTTTTAACGTGGTGAAGGGAAAGTCTTAGAATCATAGAATTGATAAGGTTGGAAAAGACTTAAAGATCATTGAGTCCAGCCACAACCTAATCATACTGCCCTAGCTCCACTAAATCATGTCCATGAGCACCACATCCAAATGATTTTTAAACACATCCAGGGATCGTAACTCAACCAGCTCCCTGGAGAGCCTGTTCCAGTGCTTAACACTTTCTTGAAAGAAGTAAAGACTTCTTTACTTTCTGTAAAGAAGTCTGTAAAAACTTCTGTACTTTCTTTACTTTCTGTAAAGAAGTTTTTCCTGAGTAAAGAAGTTTTTCCTGAAAAAAAATTCTTAATTTGCTGAGTGTTCCAGTTCAATCTCTGCTTCTCACAGTTTAATCACAGACATGGTATTCCACTAATACTTCTATCTATTTTAATCCCTCTTCTTGCCAGAAGAAGTCAAGCTACAAAACAGCTACCTTGCCTACAGTAAAGTCTGAAGTCTATAAAAACACAAGGAATTCCTGACTGAATACAGTTATGTTGAGAGAGAGAGGAGATTTGTTTTGGTTTTGTTTCATTTTCCTTACTATTTTTTTAATGCTTATCCATAACAGCAAGAAAATCTTCTGGAGCCTGATTTAAAGCTGACGGTTTAAAAGAAAAAAAAAAAAAAAAAAAAAAAGCACTTTCTGCATAATGGCAGCAAGATTGCCTTTGTAAAGTACATCTAATAAAACTGAGATCTACTACTGTTTAAAAATGAGCAGGTCAAAGTGTTTGACCTAACCCTGATGGATTCTGCTTAGAGTGTCTGGACTCCAAAAGACCTCAAGCCAAGTGTTTAACCATTGATTTCCTGCATATGTGAATATGTGTATTTTCTGTGCATGAATAGAAAATGTGTGTACATAAAAATAGATACAGATAGATATCCATACACAAACACTTGAAT